GCCACCGCAGCCTCGACCTGCTGGGCTCCGGCTATCCTTCTGCCTCAGCCTTCCAAGTAGTTGGAACTACAGGTGCGCACTACCACGCCTGGCTGATTTTTGATTTATTGTAGAGATGAGGTCTCACTAAGTTGCCCAGGCAGGTCTTGAACCCAGCTTTTTTAAAAACAAAAATCTGGCTAGGCGTAGTGGCCCAAGCCTATAATCCCAGCACTTTGGGAGGCCGAGGTGAGAGGATTGCCTGAGCCCACGGGTTTATGACCAACCTGGGCAACACGGTGAGACCTCGTCTCTACAATAAATGAAAAAATTAGCTGGGCATGGTAGTGCCTGCCTGTAGTTCCAGATACTTGGAAGGCTGAAGTGGAAGGAACCCTGGAGCTTAGCAGGTTGACGCTGGGGTGGCCATGAGCATTCTACTACATTCCAGCCTGGGCGACAGAATGAGACTCCCAACTCCAAAAAACAAAAACAAAAATCTTCTTTTTTTTACTCTGTTCTATGCATCCCTAGTGTTGGAGAATTAATATAATTATATTTATCAATAACGTTAATGTTAGGTTAACTATAGCATAGTCTTTCCAAAGTGTATCTTGATCTATAATTATTGGCATGCTAGTGAATCACTCTAAAATTTTATTTCAGACCTCGTTACTTTAAAATTCTATTTGTCGATCGGGCTCGGTGGCTCAGCCTGTAATCCCAGCACTTTGGGAGGCCAAGGCGAGTGGATGGCCTGAGCCTGTGGGTTCAAGACCCACCTGGGCAACTTGGCGAGACCTCATCTCTACAATAAATCAAAAAATTAGCCGGGCGTGGTAGCGCCCGCCTGTAGTTCCAGCTACTTGGAAGGCTGAGGCGGAAGGATCGCCAGAGCCCAGCAGGTCGAGGCTGCGGTGGCCAGTGGTGGCCACTGCACTCCAGTCTGGGTGACAGAGTGAGACTCCAACTCAAAAAAAAAAGACTTAAGATTTTAAGTGTTGGCCAGGTGCTATGGTTCAGCCTGTAATTCTAGCACTTTGAGAGGATGAGGCGAGAGGATTGCCTAAACCCAGGGGTTCGACCTGGGCAACTACAATATATCACAAAAACCAGCTGGACATGGTGCTGTGTGTCTGTAGCTCCAGCTACTTGATAGGCTGAGGCGGAAGGATCACCTAAGCCCAGCAGTTCGAGGCTGCGGTGGCTGTGAGTGAGCTACTGCACTCCAGTCTGTTCGACAATAGTGAGATTCCAACTCAAAAAAAAATATATTTTATGTGTTTGTTATTGAGCATCTATTTCAGAAGCACCACTTCCCATATTTCTGGTGATTATGAGTCCTAGAGTGCTGCCCAAGCCCTCTTGCTTTTCATTCTCTCATTTAAAAAATTTTTATTTTTATGTCATTTGTTTGTTTGTTTGTTTTTTATTTATTTATTTGAGTCAGAGTCTCACTCTGTCACCCAAGCTGGAGTACAGTGGCATGTTCACTGGCTACCACAGCCTTGACCTGCTAGGCTCAGGTGATCCATCTGCCTCAGCCTTACAAGTAGATGGAATTATAGGCAGGTGCTACCATGCCCGGATAATTTTTTTATTTATTGTAGAGATGAGATCTCACCAAGTTGCCAAGGCTGGTCTCAAACCCCTGGGCTCAGACAGTCCTCTTTCCTCAACCTCCCAAAGTGCTGGGCTCATAGGCTTGAGCCACGTCAGTGTGTCCTAAGTTTTTATTTTTTAGAAACGATTCTCTCTATGCTGTCCAGACTGGAGTGCAGTGGTGCGGTCATCGCATGTTTCCTTTACCCAGGCGATCCTTCTGCCTCAGCCTCCCGAGTAGCTGGGACTACAGCCACATGCTACCACACCTGGCTAATTTTTTAAATTTTTTGTAGAGATGTGGTCTTGCCATGTTGCCTAGGCTAGTTTCAAACTCCTGGACTCAGGTGATCTTCCCACATTGACCTCCCAACATGCTGGGATTATAGTGTGAGCCACTGGGCCCTACCCCGCTTCCCTTTTCTCCCCTCTCTTGGTTTTCATCTTCTGCTTAAACTCCTGTGAGAAAATGTTCTGTGTAAACAAAGTTTAAATATATCTCTGAAATGTTTTAGTTTAATACTTTCTTTACTCAGATACTCACCTTCAGTATATAATCTGGCCTTCATTTTTCTTCATAAGGTTTAATGAAAAGGGAAAGTGATACTCTTAGGAGAGAGTATTACTCTTGTTTGTTTTTTCCTTTCTTTTCTTTCTCTTTTTTTCTTTTTTTTTTTAAGTCGGAGTCTCACTTTGTCACCCAGGCTGGAGTGCAGTAAAACATTCATGGCTATTGCTGCTTCAACCTGCTCGGCTCGGGCTCAGCCTCAGCCTTCCAAGTAGCTGGAACTGCAGGGGTATACCACCATACCTGGCTAATCTTTTGATTTATTGTAGAGATGAGGCTGGTCTTAAATTCTTGGGCTTAGGCAATCCTCTCACCTCCATCTCGCAAAGTGCTGGAATTCTGGAATTATAGGCATGAGCCACTACACCCAGCTAACTTCCTATCTTTTTTCTTATTTTTATGTTAATTCCTGGTAGACCTGACAAGGTTAAACATTGATCAGAAACAATAGGTAGTGAAAATGTTTTTGTTCTTTTTTTTTTTTTTAAGTTGGAGTCTCACTCTGTCACCCAGGCTGGAGTGCAGTGGCACGCTCATGGCCACCCCAGCATTAACCTGTTAGGCTCAGCAATCCTTCTGCCTCAGCCTTCCAAGTAACCAGAAGTACAGGCACACACTACCACACCTGGCTAATTTTTTAAAAAATTTATTATAGAGTTGAGGCCTCTCCAAGTTGCCCAGGCTGGTCTCAAACCTGTGGGCTCAGGCAATCCTTTCACCTCGGCCTCCCAAAGTGCTGGGATTACAGACTTGAACTGCCATACCCGGCCTGTGAAAATGTTTTTTAAAAGAAGGAATAGGTTGGCCAACCGTTAAGTGTGTCAGAAAGCATTCTATTCAGCTAGCCAACCTATCTGAGGACCTGACGATTCATGTGGCATGAAGTTCCTATCCCCTATAACTCCTTATTCTCTTATCTTCATTCCTCATTACCATTCCTAAAAACTTTCCAGTCTGCCAGAACTCCCTTCCCTTAAGCTCTGGAGATACCTCCCATTGTTTAAGGTGGAAAAGTCTTTAATACTAGTGTCACAGAGGAAAGTACATACTTGGCTCTTAATTTGGAATGTGTATCAATATTCCCCTAGCTATATTGTCACACTGAGTGCCATAGTATGAATAACATTAACATTCTGCATTACTTAAATGTTATTTTGTGGGATAGCTTAGAAACCTAGCCATCCTTTATAGATTAGTTCTTTCAGGAATATATTCCAGGTTCCAAACGTTTTTTTCTTTTTAGAGACAAGGTCTTGCTCTGTCACTCAGGCTGGAATGTAGTGGCACAATCATAGCTTACTGTAATCTCAAACTCCTAGCCTCAAGTGATCCTCCTGCCTCCACAAGCACTGAGATTACAGGCATGAGGATGAGGCATTGTGCCCAGCCTTTTTGTTTTGAGGTGGGTTCTCACTATGCTGCCCAGGTTAGCCTTGAACTCCTGAGTTTCAGCAACCCTCTTGCCTCGTCAGTAGCTGGGACTACAGGGTACATACACTGCACCTGGATTCAAGTTCTAAACTTTTGACTTGCAAATAAACCTTTAGAATATGACTGGTTTACATGTTTACCACATGTATATGTGTATGTATAAATGCCTTAAATTAAAGGTATATACTTTGATTTGCTTATGTTTTTGGATATGTACACTTAAGCTTGCTTGACTTTGTCTCTTGAAATTGAAGTAATTCAGAAAAGAACGTTGTGCAACTTATTACTTGGCTGTATGTGTGGTCAAATTAGGAAATGCAAAAATGTTAACTATAGTAGAATATATAGGTTGAATACTCAAGAGATAATGGCAACTTTCTATTTTTACATTAACAACATGCTCTATAAACTCAGGCAAATACTGCCTTATATCTTATGCAAAGCATGTGAAAATCCCTAGGAGAGTTACATCGATTGATGACAAATACTTTTCTCCTTTTAACTTCTTGCCCATCTGCTTCACATGCACTTGATTTTCTTTTAGGCATTATAATGCAGGATGTGGTTTAACGCTGACACGCTTTAGGTACTAAATGTAAAAATGTTGGGGAAATACAGAAACTAAGCATTATCACTGTACCATGAAGAGAATGTATTGTATGTCCCTCTAGTTCACTGTCCAGATCCTAAGTCTTGAAAGCCCAGTCTGAACTGGAACTCGGATCTTGGAGTTCTTGCAATCCAGGGACAACCATGAGGGCTGCTTCTTCCTGCAGGAAGTCCCAGTCCCTTGCCATCATCATTGCCCACAGCTGGCCCAGGAATTGCTACTATTATCAGTCACTCTGGTAGGTGCTAGGGATACAAAAAAAGTTCTTGACTGAAAGAAGTTCACAGATTGCTGGCACATGTCTGATTTTTTTTTTTTTTTTAGGCAGCCTAAGGGATGAAAGGATTTTTGAATCCCTGGGAATGCCCTAGAAACCCTTGTTTCTCGCATATCTTCTTCCTCCTATTAGTTTTCCATTTTATGACATTATCATTAAAACCAGAGATTAGTTTGCCTACTTTTGAGTGTTTTGTTCCAATGGATTGATCTTACCTGAGCTGGTCTTGATGACGTTCACAATCAGACTGGAGTTATATGTAACTTAGATTTGGAATGTTCTTATACAGCAAAGCATTGGAGGGTGTGAAGAAAGTAATGTCTCTTTTTTAAATATGTGGAATCTGAAATAAATAGGGGATTGCCTGAGCCCACAAGTTCGAGAACAGCCTGGGCAACTTGACAAGACTTCATCTCTACAATAAATAAAAAAATTAGCCAGGCATGGTAGCGCATCCCTGTAGTTCTGGCTACTTGGAAGGCTGAGGTGGAAGAATCACCCGAGCCCAGCAGATTGACTGATGCTAGGGTGGCCGTAAGCGTGCTACTATACTCCTCCAGCCTGGGTAACAGAGGTGAGACTCCAACTTAAAAAAATAAAAAATAATAAAAAATAAAAATAATATAACCACCTTTACTTTTTCAGGGAACTTTGAATTTATAAAGTATTTTAACAAATATTATTTCAATTACAGGTTGAACATCCTAAGTCTGAAAATTCAAAATCAGAAATGCTCCAAAATCCAAAACTTTTTGAGCTCTAACATGACGCTCAAAGGTAATGCTCATTGGAACATTTAGGATTTTGGATTTTTGGATTTGAGATGTTTAACCAGTAAGTATATGTAATATAAATATTCCAAAAATCTGAAAATGTTTGAAACCCAAAACACTTCTGGTCCCAAGCATTTCAAATAAGGGATACTCAATCTGTTCTTATTTGATTAAGTGATATAGTGTATTTATTTATTTATTTTTGAGTTGGAGTCTCACTCTGTCGCCCAGACTGGAGTGCAGTGGCCGCTCCCGGCCACCGCAGCCTTGACCTGCCGGGCTCCGGCGATCCTTCTGCCTCAGCCTTCCGAGTAGCCGGAATTACAGGCGCGCGCTACCACGCCCAGCTAATTTTTTGATTTATTGTAGAGATGAGGTCTCGCTGCCCAGGCGGGTCTCGAACCCGCGGGCTCAGGCAATCCACTCACCTCAGCCTCCCAAAGCGCGGGATTACAGGCTGAGCCACCGAGCCCGGCTAGATATAGTGTATTTAAAATACTTAGCCCAATGCCTGATATATAGAAAGCACTTAGTGTTAGCTTATAAACTCAACAACTCTGTGAGCTAGTAGGGGTTTCTTCCTCCTTTCTTTTCACAGTTGAGCAACCAGGTTTACAGAAGTTCTTTTCCTCTAGTTTTCTTACTCTTTTCACTTTATCAGATTTTCTCAAACAAAATATTCCAATTTACATTTCATTTTTCGGGCATAATATCACAGAGCTGGAAGGGGCCTTCATTATTGGGTAGTCTGATTTCCTCTTAGAATTTACATAATTGAGGACAAGAGTGACTAGGTAACATCGTCAAGGTTATATGGCTGGGTAGTCTCAGGATTAAAACTGACTCAATTTATCCAATACAGAGAACTGGGCATCTGGAGTCCAAGATGGAATTCTAAATTCTGCCCTAGCTTGTCCTAAAAAGCCGAATGAGACTCAATGCTTATTTTTACCTCTGGATACCATTACCTTTACAATGTATACTCTATTTTTTTGAGTCTGAGTCTCACTCTATTGCCCAGGCTAGAGTGCAGTGGCATTCTCACCGCCACCGCACCCTCGACCTGCTGGACTCAGGTGATCCTTCTGCCTCAGCCTTCCAAGTAGCTGAACCACAGGTGTAAGCCACCACACCTAGCTAATTTGTTGATTTATTGTAGAGACGAGGTCTCACCAAGTTGCCCAGGCTGGTCTTGAACTCCTGAGCTCAGACAATCCTCTTGCCGCCTCCTCCAAAGGTGTTGGGATTACAGGCGTGAGCCACCGGGCCGACCACAATGTATACTCTATGTTTATCTGTTATCTACTGTTTTGGTTACTTAGTAGTCCCTATAATATAAAGGGTCTTATCTGAAATACTTGGGACCAGAAATGTTTTGGATTTCAAACGTTTGTTTTGTAATATTTGCATTACGTATACTTACTCGTTTTGAAATTTGTAGTGTCTGCCTTCTTTGTTTAGTTCTTTTGATGAAAGTGTTTATTGAGCATCTAACATTTGTAGTTACTATGGTAGTGTTAGGGATACAAAGACTGACTTGCCCTGTAATAAGGCTTTTTGCTAGATGGCTGGTGCATATTCAAGTTCCTAGTCAATTAGCTTAGGGGATAAAGAACTCCTAAATCCCTAGGAATGCCCTGTGCTCTAGAGCCAAGTTAAAATCAACAGCATTGTGTTTGTTGTAGAATGGCATGTGGGGTACCACTTAGGGATGGTTTCTGAGGAAGGTCAGAAAAGGTGTTATTCTAGAAGCAGGTATAGCCCTAGAGAGAGAGATTGGGGCATGGGGTGGAGGATGGGACTTAAGAAAATAGGGAAACTTGTTAGGCTGAGGTTATTTTTCTCACCGTTTCATTGTGCAGTGGTCAGTACATGTATTCTATTCTATTCTATTCTATTCTATTCTATTCTATTCTATTCCATTCCATTCCATTCCATTCCATTCCATTCCATTCTATTCCATTCATCAAGGTCTCACATCACCTAGACTGGAATGTACAGTGGCATGATAACCACTCACAACTCCTAGGCTCAGGTGATCCTCCCACCTTGGCCTTGTGAGTAGCTGGGACTACAGGCACATGCCACCATGCCTAGCTAATTTTTTGACTTTTTGTAGAACTAAGGTCTTGCTGTGTTGCTTAGGCTGGTCTTGAACTCCTGGGCTCAAGCAGTCCTCTCGTCTTGATCTCCAGAGTGCTGAGATTATAGGTGCGAATCACCATGCCCCGCCTCGCACATGTATTCTTTTTTTGGGACCGCAGTCTGACCTGCTGGGCTCAGGTGATCTTTCCGCCTCAGCCTTCCAAGTAGCTGGAACTACAGGCACTTGCCACCACACTCGGATAATTTTTTAATTTATTTTAGAGACGAGGTCTCACCAAGTTTCCCAGGCTGGTCTCGAACCCCAGGACTCTGGCAGTTCTCCACCTCAGTCTCCCAAAGTGCTGGAATTACAGACTTGAGCCAACGCGCCCGGCCTGCACATGTATTCTTAACTTAGTTGTACAAATGAGAATACTGAAGTCTAGAGAAACTGGATGACTTGCCCCAGGTCATACAGCTAGTACATACCAGAGAAGGGTGGGCTAGAGCCTGTGTCTTCTGACCTGCAGTCCAGTACTCTTTCTGTTATAACTGATTGTTGCAACTAATGAAAATGACAACACATGACAGGCAATGGTTGTGGGTATGAACTTGTGGTATACCCAGCTGCCCTTGAAAGGAGAGGCTCCTTGATTTTTGTTTTGTTTTTTTTTTACTGCTGAGACTGAACTGAGCTGTGTTTCTATTTTCAGCATCAGCATGGCTGTTGACTTAGATGAGACTTTTTATGGGAGAAAGCAAACTGCAAGCTCTGTTTTCAGACCAGACAGGCAGGAATTCTGTTAAGATTCTCTTCATGAGATGGATGGTTCCTACAGCAGCTACCACTGAGCCAAACTCTATTTTGGTAGATCTGAGGGGTCAGAGGTCAGAGACCACATCAGTAAAGTACTTCTCATTAGGGTCACCTGAGATGTGAAGGTTACTTGTTTTCTAAGTTTAACACTTAGAAGAGTCATATAGCCTATGACCTTTGCCCTTCTTAGCTGGTGATAGGGGGCCCCCTTTTGTCAGTAAAGCATTCATGTGGGTTCTACTCAACTGTTTCAGGTCACTCCCCCATTAAGTCTGAGGCAGCAAAGGGGTGAGTGAAACTGCTTTTCTCACTGTGAAGGAGGGGTCATGCATTATGCTCAGACAGTTAACAGGTCAAAGGAGTGGATTTCCCACTGTGTGAAATGCCTTCTTTATTACATGTGTGTGTTCTTTAAAATGTGCCTTAGCATTGAGCACCCAAAAAACGTGTTATTTCTTTTCTAGTAGTCATACCATTAGAAATATTAACTTTTTAGATTCTTTGGACAAATACTCATTCTGCAAGTGTGCATTTGTGTTCATCACTATATAGCATCCCCACTGCTTCTTCATTCTTATAGAATGAACCTCTGAAGTTTGGAAGTGTCTGAATCCCGAAATAAGATAATTGAATGTGCAGGAACACAGTAACCAGAAGACCTGGGAGGCCATAAAAGATTTGCATTGCAAATATAAAATATAAATAATGAGACTTCTTTTTCTCCTTACAGGGAAACTGGATTCCAAGATCCATCAAGGAGCAAAGAAGGGGTTAATGAAGCAGAATAAAGCTGTCTGACCCAGGAGAAAAGGAACTATACAGCATAGTGGAACTTTGTGTACTAAAATTGCTATCTACTTGTCCTTTGGAATTGAAGCAGCAGAAATTTGAAGGCTAGGCTTCAGGGTTGAATCTCTCAGACTTCAAACTCTTACCAAAATCTGTATATTTTTCTTAAAGAGTGGGATTCTTACTTTATGTGGTGGGTCAAAATCTTTAAATACATTATTTATAAAAACCCATTTTAAAAAAATTCTATGTCTTTGACTTTTTTCTCAGAATAATAGCAGAAGAAAAAGGAACAAATTAGAAATTACTTTCCTCTCTCAGACTTATATTTGTAGTTAGAAATTTTTTTTTTTTTTTTGAATTGGAGTCTCACTCTGTTGCCCAGACTGGAGTGCAGTGGCGTGCTCCTGGCCACTGCAGCCTCAACCTGCTGGCCTCCGGCAATCCTTCCGCCTCAGCCTTCCGAGTAGCCAGAACTACAGGCACATGCTACCACGCCTGACTAGTTTTTGATTTATTGTAGAGATGAGGTCTCGCCAAGTTGCCCGGGCAGGTCTCGAATCCCCAGGCTCAGGCAATCCTCTTGCCTCGGCCTCCCAAAGTGCTGGGATTACAGGCTGAGCCACTGAGCCCAGCCAGTTAGAAAAATTTTTAACCCAGACTCATGATATTTTGGAAAGATCTCTTGGATTTTAAAATTTCTTTTCAAAGTGATAATCTGATAGAGTATTAGGATGTTTGAGGAGTCCTGTGTTAAATACAAACCTGTGTTGGGACCAAAAATGTTTTTTTGGTTTTTTTTGAGTTGGAGTCTCACTCTGTCACCCAGACTGGAGTGCAGTGGCCGCTCCCGGCCACCGCAGCCTCGACCTGCTGGGCTCCGGCAACCCTTCCGCCTCAGCCTTCCTCGGCAACCCTTCCGCCTCAGCCTTCCAAGTAGCTGGAACTACAGGCACGCGCTACCACACCCAGCTAGTTTTTTGATTTATTGTAGAGATGAGGTCTCACCAAGTTGCCCAGGCGGGTCTCGAACCCACAAGGCTCAGGCAATTCATTCACCTCAGCCTCCCAAGGCGTGGGATTACAGGCTGAGCCACCGAGCCCGGCTCAAAAAAGGTTTTTAAACAAGTTATTTCTTGAACTGAACGGTCTGAGTGAAAAGTGAAAAGCTGAGCGACTCTGATTGGCAGATTTTTTTTTTTTTGGAAGGGGATAATCTGGAGAAGTGCTTCCACTTTATTCTGTGGCTTGAGAAGCCGGGACATGGAGAGTTCAGATTGGGAAGGGATGGAGCCACCTGCTACAACAGCATGAAGCTGCCCTATTTATTTTGTTGGTGTTGCAACTAGAAACAAACTGAAATATAAAATTGCTTCAGTAAATGCATCCAAATACCCCCAAATGCTGAAATCAAACCTTTTAAACCATTCACACCCTAGGAAGCTAGGAGCTTTGGAAAAACAAGAGGTTGGTTTGAAATGAGATTTTTTACTTGTCAGTGTGGCCCTACTTAGTGAGACACTTTGTTTCTGAGGTGCTTCTGAAGAGTTGTCAGAATCTCAGTTGCTGGTATCTTGAGGAAATTCATGGTTTTAAATGTGTATGTTCTGCTTTTTATAAAGCAACACCACCACACTGGGGAAGTTGGACTCCCTCCAGCAGTTGTATGCATGACTTTAAAAAGAGAGAGCAAGGGAGAGAAAAAAAAAAGTGCCCTGTGTTATGAAAAAGATTAATTTCCCTTTTCTTTAATCCTTCATATTCAGCATTTATTTGCATTGAAATGCCTCCACTCATTATGCATTGATGTTCACTCAACTGTGAACCCTGCTTGTTGCATAAAGCTCTAGGCATGGGTTCTGCCAGGTCTGATCACTCCGGATTCTCAGGGAAAACCCACCCGATTTTTGTTCTGGTGATACAAACATGCAGTACTCTCTACGTTTTTCTGTTCAATGTCTGGACAAAAAAAAGACAGGTAATGACACTTATTTAGGGGAAAAGGAAAAGTCTCTTTCTGTCCTCCTGCAGACTGTACTATTAATGAAGCTATAACTGGGTTCATTATGCAGTTAATAGTTTACCAAGCAGTAGCACCTCGAATTCTGTGCTGGAGTTATCTGGCTCTCTTTTTTTTTCTTTTTTTGAGTTGGAGTCTCACCCTGTCACCCAGAGTGCACCCACCAGGAGTGCAGTAGCCGCTCCTGGCTACCTCAGCCTTGACCTGCTGGGCTCCGGCGATCCTTCCGCCTCAGCCTTCCAAGTAGCTGGAACTACAGGGGCACACTACCACGCCTGGCTAATTTTTATTTATTGTAGAGATGAGGTCTCGCCAAGTTGCCCAGGCGGGTCTCGAGCCCACGGACTCAGGCAATCCACTCACCTCAGCCTCCCAAGGTGCGGGATTACAGGCTGAGCCACCGAGCCCGGCTTCTGGCTTTCTTAATACCAAAAGAAAACCAAAAGGCAAGAGGTAAAGAGCTTAGGGAGAAAAAAAGTTTATTTGAACAACAGCCCGAGCGTAGAGGTATCTGGATTGATTTTTCCACCTTGATAGATGATGTGTACATGCCTAAAGAAAAACATCAGGAGCTGCAACAGATCAGGCTATGCAACTATTTTGTGTACTGTGATAAGAAAGTTTACAAGAACTTTACAGATTTATAAGAACCCACCTCAGCATCCAAAACATGCTGCTGGAGCCACATAAGTAGATGACAGAAATTTCTCCTTTTCATTGTTATACTGTGAAAGCCTGTCTTTAGTTCATATGGTGGTGGTGGTAGTATAAGGTCTCTCTTTTATTTGTGGAGACACTGGGGAGGAAGTGTAGGAGAAACTTGGGGGTAGATGGCTCTCAGTTCCTTGTGATGAATAGCATAATTTAAAGTCTAGTGGAAATTCTTAGCAGCCTGAGTGCAACTTGCCCAGGAATAGCCTTTCAGTACTTTACAACACTTTGCTCTGACCCCCTTAACTCCTGGACAGCTTGGCCTGAGGGAAGTTTCACATTTCTGAGTTGTTTTCTGTGGCAGCCTAAATATCTGTGCCGCTTTTGGATGGTTGGTTCAATTGCTATCAACTTGTATAGTACCTAAAGGATGATTCAGCTTTTTGGTTTTTGGTGTTTTTTTGTTTTTTTGTTTCCCAAGCAGGACTCAGTCTCATTTGTATAAGGTCAGAGGAGGAATATAAGAAACTGGAGACTTTCTCTGTCAAAGTTTAGGAAACCTTGGCCTTGTAGTTAGATGTGTGGAATAGAATGAGGGCTGGTTGGTTGGTTTTTTTCTTGCCATAGCTAATCTGGAGAAGGAAAGAAAACTAGGTGTCCCTTCTCTTATTTATTTATTTTTAGTTGGAGTCTCACTCTGTCGCCCAGACTGGAGTGCAGTGGCCGCTCCTGGCCACCGCAGCCTCGACCTGCTGGGCTCCTGCGATCCTCTCGCTTCAGCCTTCCGAGTAGCCGGAATTACAGGCGCGCACTACCATGCCCGGCTGATTTTTTTCATTTATTGTAGAGATGAGGTCTCACTGCCCAGGCGGGTCTCGAACCTGAGGGTTCAGGGAATCCATTCACCTCAGCCTCCCAAAGGCGCGGGATTACAGGCTGAGCCACTGAGCCCGGCCCCTTCTCTTATTTTAAGTCAGAAGTTTATAGAAGTTCATTTTTTCTTAGGAAATAGATATGAAAAAAATTGGACTTTAATGATTATTTTTACAAATAATTACAAAGTTATGGCTTTTAAATCTCTTAATCTCTTTCCATTTTAACTGCTGTCTCTACTAAAGCCCATATATGTGGACTTACTTTAATTTAGGAATTTTTTTTTTGAGTAGGAGTCTCACTCTGTTACCCAGGCTGGAGGGCAGTGGTACGCTCACGGTCACTACAGCCTCGACCTGCTGGGCTCAGGTAATCCCTCTGCCTCAGCCTTCTAAGTAGCTGGAACTACAGCATGTACCACCATGCCCAGCTAATTTTTTGATTTATTGTAGAAATGAGGTCTTGCCAAGTTGCCCAGGCTGAAAATTTAGTAATTTTTAAAAATGCTTTTCTAGAGTTCCTAGCCAAGATGGAGACAGCATGGGGGTTGTCCTCTTGGCCAGCTAAAACAGACTGGTAAAAAGCAAGCATCTATTAAACTAGAGAATTCAGCAAACTTTAGTTTCTTAGGCCTGAAGGAAGAAAGGGAGTCCAGTGATGGAGGAATATTTTTTTTCCTTGAGATTCAAATAGCAAGTACACATCTGCTGTTCTCAGCTTCTGTGAATGTGTTTGGAGGGAGGTGATCCATATCTCAGGCTCCAGCAGCAACAAGAGATCCAGCATGTGGAGGGCTTTTTTACTTGTCTCATGCAGAGAAGAAAGAACTTAGCCACAGTGCCATTCTCTGACACAAGGAAACTTGTATAAATGTCCATTTATGTGTATGCACATAATGTGGTATAATTCATGGGGCAAAACTTGGTAAACTGATCAGATTTCAGGCTTCAGTTGTGACACTGGAGAGTCCAGAGAGACAACCTAGTAAATGTACCCTAGCTTGGTGTCAGAAAAATGGGTATGTGTGGCAAATGGAGCTGGGGCAGGGTGCTAAGAATCCATAGAGAGGTATGTCCCAGGAAGAGGTGAGATCTTGGCATGAGGAGCAAAAAAAATGTCAATACAAGAAAGCTGAGAAGTTTAGAGCTGTATTGTCTATTATGGTACCCGCACATGGCTATTCATATTTCAATTAAATGAAATTAAGAATTCAGTTCTTCAGTCACGGTTAACCATATTTCAGGTGCTCAAGTAGCTACACATGGCTAGTGACTTCTGAACTAGACAGCACAGATAAAGAACATTTCCATCACTGCAAAAAGATCTATCAGATAGTGCTTGTGTGGAGCAGAGGCTGGCAAACTTATTCTGTAAAGGGCCAGCTAGCAAATATTTTAGGCTTTACACAGCCATACAATTTGTTACCACTATTCAACTCTGCTGTTGTAGTGCAAATGTATTCATAGATGATAGTGTAAATGAGTGAGCATGACTAGAGCTAATAGACATTTAAATTTCATAATCTTCACATGAAATATTGTTTTATTTTTTAACTGTTTAAAGATGTAAAAACCACTTTTAGCTCATGGGACATACTAAAACATGTGAGCTTGATTTGATCTGTGGGATACAGTTTGCCACCTCTTGGTCTAGAGGAACAGGAAGTCCAATCTTAAGGCTCTTTGACTGTACAGGACATCTGGTC